CACTGGAGGTTTTTAAGAAGAGATTGGACAGTTATTTGTCTGGAATGGTATAGGTTCTCCAACTTGAGCAGGGGCTGGACTAGAAGATCTCCAAGGTCACTTCCAACTCTGTTATTCTGATTTATTGGGGGAAATATCCAAAGCTACATATTTGTTTATGGTAAAACATGTGATTCTTTAGGATTATCAGTGCATTTGAAGGGGAAAGCAGCACCAGATTAATTTGTGAGTCCATAAGGGTAGCAATGCCACCATTAAAATCTTTCCTGCTTACTTTATTCTTTAGAAATATCCTTGACCAAACAATAAAATCATGAATGTGAGCCTAAGACAAAATTGAGCAAGTGTAATTGCTGGGATTATAAGACAAGCACTCAAGCAAAGATAATAAACATACAGTATGTATCATTTAACACATAGAGCTATGGGTCCAAAAGTCATGATCCAATCAGTTCTCTGATATACCTACATAAAATTTAAAAGATAAATGCATCTGCTCTATTCTTTGCTGATATTTGCTGCAACAAACAACAGGGGAAAATGTCACATGAGAGATCTGCCTATATTAGAAAGTACTTAATTCTTTTAGTATGTTTGTGTTTGGCCGAAAGCAGCAAAGTGCATAAAAAAGAGAATATAATAAAAGTTTCAAAAACCTAAACTAAGGTTTTTTTTCTCCTCTCATTTCATTTTAGTCCTTTGAAAGAGTTTTGGTTGAAAACAAGCTGCATGGCCTTTCACCAGCTCTTTCTGAAGCCATCCAGAGCATTTCACGCTGGGAATTGGTTCAAGCTGCCTTACCACATGTCCTTCACTGCACAGCCACTCTGCTTTCCAACCGGAACAAGTTAGGTCAGTGCACATCTGAGATTTTAAAAACAATTGTGGTTATACATTACTCTATCTCATCAATTATTATCAAAACTGACTAAATAACAGTTCAGATTAAAGTTCTATGACTTGCATTTCAGTTCATGCACATTTGCTTTTGTGCAAATTATGTCACAGTAAATTGTGAGGGCAAGATTAACTAATGGTTGTATAGGAAAGGGACTGCAATGATGAAAGGAGAAGAATGGTGTCTTAAAGGGTTTGATCATGGAGAGTCTTGTCTTAGGAAGCAGCTTCCTGGAACATGGAAGGATGCAGTCAATCACAAAAATGTGATAGAAAGACAGCTGGATTTTAAAGCCTACGTGATAACACTAAAAATATTGTCAGCAGTAAAAGTCCTCAGGAAGCCAATAATTGCTTATATTTTCACAGGAGAGATTAAAATATAATTAAAAGCATGTTTTCAATAGAAAAACACATGTCTTATCCATTCGTCAATACAATGCAATGTAAATAAAAGATAAAGTCCAAGAAACATTGTTTAGATAGATACCTACTGAAATATTAACTGGGTTTATCAGAGCATAGAAAAAATTGAGATGTCTATGTTTTAGAAGTAGCTTTAGGAACGATTTAAAGTAGAACAGTTCATATATTACCATGTCAAAGAAAATGTAACAGCCAAGTACAATGCCTTTTTAGATGATCAACATGGGCAACAAATAAAGAGATTTATTTAGCTGACTGCTGGTTATGTATAGTAGCATGTGCTTGGCATTATGGTAAACAAGTTGAGCAGAGCTTCTTTTTGAGCTGCACCATCTAATCATAGTCCTCACAATCTTTTTTCATCTAGGCCATCAGGACAAACTTGGTGTTGCTGAGACAAAACTCCTTCACACTCTGCATTGGATGTTGCTAGAAGCACCTCAAGACTGCAGCCATGACCACTTTGGAGGATCAGGAGACAGAGGGTCAAGCTGGAGAGGAAGCAGCAGTGCCTTTATCCACCAGATTGAAAACCAAGCATCTCCAGGGCAATCAAGATGTGACAGTACCAATGAAGAAGAAGAAAACAGCAGAAGGAAGTTCTTTCAGAATTCAATGGCCACTGTTGAGCTTTTTGTGTTCTTGTTTGCTCCTCTGGTTCATAGGATTAAAGTGAGTGCCTAAAGTTTAACAAGTTGTAAGGACCCACCCCACTTTGCATCTTAAGAA